TTCTATAAAAGCAACGTGAAGGCTGCTGAGAGCGAGATTATCCCAGCTCAGTAAAACATTCCTTATTATCTCACATCTCAGCGCTTTGGCAAGGATAACTTACTCAAGCCACCAGGGCACTGCTGAGTGGCCTTTTCCCTCTTTTTCCTGTTCTCCCTGCCTACCTCTCCCCAATTCCCCAGATTTCCCCATCCCAGCAACCTGCTTCAAACAAAGCCGCTCTACTTCTTGCCAGACTAATGCTGATCAGCACGTTATTTAGCTCCCTTTCAAGCAAAGGAACTACCACACCAGTACACAAATAACCTTATCTCCTGGGCCGCTGCTGGAAGATAGTTTGTGTCCCGTGCCAGCTGCACGTTTCACACCTTCCACTGCTCACTGGATTAAAAAAAAGGCACCGACCCCATCAGGGACAGATCCCACTGAGCGTAATTGGAGTTAGGTGTAGGAGCTTGAAAAGCCCACCCATCGACCAAGGTGTGCAAGAGACACCACCATTATTTCAGTGCACACACAGACTTCTGAGACTGTTAGTGCCTCTTCTTTAAGTACTTAAGATGGGTGAATTCAATAATTTAAAAACGGAGACTTAAAATATCTCCAGACCAAATCTAAAAAAAAAAAACAAACCTAACCAACCCCTAGCTTCTGATGAGAGGAATTAGCGGCACAGTTCTGACTGTCCCGAAAAGAATGCAGCCAGCAGCAAGCCCCGACGCCCATCGCCGCGCCGAGCTGCCGGCGCTATGACACAGTAAACCACTCACAATGACTTTAAAAAGAAATAAATAAGACACCCATTCCAAATTAATGAATGGAGCTTCTTCCAGCAGGCACTAAAAAATACCCAAAGGGCTCCACATCTCTTGCACTTGGGTTTGTGCTACTCCGGCTTGCTAATCAGCTCCTGGCCCCCAAGATACGCTTCCTGCCTCTCTCAGCTGCGCCGAAGTCGATGGAGTTGCATGCTCGCTCCACCTATTTTTGCCACAGGACTTTTTAAGCAATTTGTGTCCAATTTCAAAGCATAAGCCACGCTGCCAGCGATCGTAGCTTGCCGGCGGCAGTAACGCCCACTGCATTCTCAGGCAGACAAAGCATTGGTCTACCCAGGAATTTGGACTTCCGAGGCAGCTTCTGAAACACAAGCCCAGGAACAGGCTGCCAGCACCCTGCTGGAAACCAGAATGTACCTTATCATCAGTAAAGCCTGCCCCAACTGCTCTTCCAGGAACTGTTATTCGTGCCCTGACTTACACAGCTGCCCAAGAAGGAAGGGTGCCTGTAGCCAGGCCGACAGGAAAACATCCTAGGAAGGAAAGAAAGAGAGATGGAAGAAGGCCTGTTACCAAAATGCAGCACTACCCAGCGGGCCGAATGTCTCCACACTTCTTCAGGAAGTGGGTCTGAGTTCTTTCCCAAGTCTTGGTATTCCAGGCACAAACTCCTGTCAAGATGGCTGTTTATTAACATCTAGTCACACCATGCAGACACCCAGCACATGAAATCTATTAGGATGTTTACAATATCGAAAGGCCTGATGTAAGGCAGTGGAATTTTTGCACGGCATTCATCCTGGAAATGAAAAGCTCAGATTAAAGCTGTAAATCCCAGAGTTCTGTAATTAAAAGCTGTCCCTGCAATTCCACTAGTCCTAAAGAAAACAGGTCCTACGATATGGTTTGTGCTGTACCTTCCTATGGTGCAGCACCTGTACAGGGACATACCAGAACCTGCTCAAGATTTGGGTCTGCAGAGTGATGGGTCTCAAACATACCCCCCTTCACCTTCCAAACAGGTCACTGGAGCCAAAAAGCTCTTAGGCCTGGCAGCAGGAGGAAGACACTTTATAACTGAGCATGCAAAGTCCAGTCTCTCCACCTGACCAAGGACGCCTTCCTTCTCCTCCCTTGCTACTACTGGAAACCTGCAACAGCTCCAAAGGACATCAGTGGAGACAGAAGAAACTCTAAGAAAGAGGAACCAACCACCACAGAACAGACTAGAGAAATGGGGATCTGCTCTTAGGTCTTAGCACTAATGCTGCCTGTGCCTTTCAGCCACCATGGCAATTGGCTACTGCTTTTAGGATTGCTGGCCGAAATAAAGCAAGGGGAGCCTGCTGTTCTGCCTAGAAGTCAGTTAAGCTGGAAAAGAAACACAAGAAGCAACGCTGTGAAAAGCGCACAGACAACCGAGCCGTAGTCCCTCAGCATTACGCCTCGATAGCGGAAATAAAAGTGCACAGCAGCAACATTAGCTTTTCTTTTATAAAAAGCATTGGAGGTCTCAAACCAGGGACTGACCCATAATACTTCACGTAAGAAGCTGAACCTTGCTTGAGGAGCAGCAAGGAAGCTGAATAGAAACACTGACAACTAAATTTACTCCTAGGAAAGCTACGTTTCTGGTAAAGTATTTTTGCAGTAAGACTCCAAGGTTAGGTATTTAGAAGACATTCGAAGACAACGCTTCAGGTCATAAAGTGAAGTTGAGGTGAAAAGAAAAACCTCCCGGGCCGGACTCGCAGTGGCAAGTGGCTGTTCTCTGCCCAGCAGCCAGCCAGGGGTTCCAGCAAGCGCAGCTGCAAAGCCAGCAGATCCGTGAGATTACAGTGACTTTTTAAGCTGACCCACATTTTGCCCATCCCAAACTGATGCGCGAGAGCGCTGCTGGGGTGAGCTCACGCTCCTCTCTTACACACACAAACACTGGAGTTCACTACAACTCTTTGGTCGCAGAATACTCTGCGTGAAAACCTGACCTTCCTCCAGCCGTTTGGGGCAACGAGCGCAGCTCCAGAAGCAGAAACACCCATCAGACATCTCCGTTACATAAACGTTACGTACGTTAGCGCTTCCAGCGCTTGCTCTCTTTCCCACCGAGCTGAGCTAGCACTCAAATCAATAGATACAGGGGGAAGAGGAGGAGGAGGAGGATCTCTTACACAGATCCCTCAACTCTGAGGACAGCTGTGTTTTGGGTTTCTTTTCTGCAGCAGCTCTGGCAGCAGATGCCTGAAATGTCAAGATGTCCCAACGGCACCGAGTGTTTCCACAACAAGACGGGGGTCAGAAGCGAAGCAGCAGCTTATATCCGCCCTTCCTCACCAGCTCTGGAGCCGACGCTATTTTTCTTCCCGAGTACAAACACGGAGCCTGGGATACCTGAAATGAGCTGGTGAGGAAACCCAGGGGGAGCAGTGCTGGGAGGTCCTACCTTGGTGCCCCCCACCCTCCTCACCTCCCTGTTAGCAGGGGGTGCATGGGACTTTGGCAGGACCCCAGGGCCGAGAGGGAGGAGAGGCCCTCGCAGGGCCCAGCCACTGACCCCGGGGAGAGAAGGGAGTGGGGGCAGCCCTGGGGAGGGGGAAAAGGGACCAGAGGTAGGGAGGACAGGACGACCCGGCCTTTGGTGGGGGGGCAAGGACCCGGGCCCTGACGAGGGGGTGAGGGGGAAGAGAA